AAGTGTGTGCGATTTCTAAAAGAATGAAAAACGGTCACTGCATAAAAATTAATATTGCATCAGAAATGTTGACACTAATCATTGACATATCCCAGACTGTAACAATCCAAACAAAAAAGAATCTCGCAGCAATTAGTAAATGAAAAATATTTAATTTTTGAAATTGTTTTTCCCATGAAAAATGGTATTAGTTCAATGTAAACAAGCTGGTATTTAAAGGGTTAAATCCTAGAAATTATTGGTAGATATGATCAGGACTGATGTTGATTAAAAACGCTGATATGAAATAGTTTTATGACAGTGCTTTTGATGCAACATTTATGTTTTTGAGGACCTCTGTGTAACTTTTTTTTTTTTAATTAACGACTCGGGGTAAAGTATGAAAGCCTTTTAACATGGAACAAGCAGAGCCAATTTGTCGGAGCCACTGTAAACATCACTGATGTCATAATTACATTTTTGCAAGTATTTCTAGGAGCAGTTCTGCTTCTATTAGACACTAGAGCACTGCCAGGAAATGAGAGGAGAGAGTCCCATGATGCGCTTCAGTCAGAGATGCTCCTGTTACATCATCACCGCCGCCTCAAACTCCCTGAACACCCAGATGCCTCATAATTACTTTTTTTTTTTTGTCAAGAGAGGGTAAATAAATCCTGTTTGTAGTCGTGATCCGTATCTTGTATCAAAGCAGGTCCCGTTTATCACTGAGTAGTATGAAATATCAAAAATGTGTGATTTCACCTCAGTCAATCTGGATCGACTGTGTGAAGATTACACAACTATTCATTCACATAGCTTTAAAAAACAAGCGACAACAACTCAAAGGTTACAACACATAAGGTCTACAGTTTGACTCCGACTCTGCAACTTTACTCTTGACAAAATATCTGATGGAATATAGTCTTTATGTACATATATAGTGTTTTATTTATTTCTACTATTAAGTTTATATCGTGGACATAAATTAAGCTATCTAATAATCCTAAGAGGTTCTCAAACCAGTCCTGTAATTAAACCTGGTCATGTAAACAGTATTTTCAAGTTGCTTCCTTTTCGTAGATTTATTTCAGGTGTTGCAACATCTGCAAAATGTTTATTCAAAGCAAATATAGAGGAAAGGTCACCGGTTCACTTCCCGGTGAGGACACTCGGGATCTTTCAGCGTGGAGTTTGCATGTTCTCCCCGTGCAGCGTGGCTTCCTCCCGCAAGGTCCAAAACATGTTGAGGTTAATTGGTGATTCTAAATTGTCCGTAGGTGTGAATGTGAGTGTGCTTGGTTGTCTGTCTCTAAGTGTAGCCCTGT